AAAATTATCAATAGTAATATAATGACAGCAATGGAAATTATCGATAATTTTTGGGAATTTTGCCCGAATGCATTTTCAGTTAAAAACGCATGAGTGCAAATTTGTCAAAAATTAAAAATATATTTCCATTGCACGAGTTGTATTTTATGAGAGAATTTCATGAGTCAAATATTCAAATTTTTTGTCAAAAAATGTCAAAATACCACTGCTCTCCTAAAAATAAACGCCGTATGTTTTAACAATTTCGAATATCGAGTTTTATTGCCAAACATTTTCTTTTGCTTTAACTATATACAGGGTTGTCGTTATGTATGGAAACACTCTGATATTTCAGAACCGGCTTGAAAAAAAATTACAATATTTCCTACCTGGGGGTTTTTGGGAATGACCAATTCAATGGTGGTATTTGCAATATTGCCAAGTTTACCGTTTCTAAGATGTCGTATGTAACTTGATTTTTTCAAATGGATGCCCCTCTTTATTTTTATTGTAATTAATTCAGCGTCCCAACATTACTAAAACCCCTAAATGTTAAAACTCCATTTTACTTGGTTTTTGAAATATGGCAACACAAATTTTTTCTTGAAAAGTATGAAAATGGTCTCGTATTTCAGAAAAGACTTTAGCAAAATGTACAATATTCCCTACCTGAGGGTTTTTAGTAACGCCCAATTCAATGATGGTATTTGCAATGTTACCAAGTTTGCAGTTTCTAAGATGCCGTATGTAACTGCCCGCCGCAGGGGCATCCATTTAAAAAAAATCAAGTTACATACGGCATCTTATAAACGGTAAACTTGACAACATTGCAAATACCATCATTGGGCATTCCCAAAAACCCCCAGGTAGGGAATATTGTACATTTTGCTAAAGCCTTTTCTGAAATACGAGACTGTTTCCATACAGCATTTTAACAAAAAATCTGTGTTACCATATTATTTCATAAAGCAAGTAAAATGAAGTTTTGGCATTTAGGGGTTTTAGCAATGTTGGGACCACTGATCTTAAAAATAAATGGATAAACAAAGAAAGCTTCTAATGCTGCTAATTTACGAGGTCATAATCTAAACAAAAACAACTGATTGGGACAGCTGTGAGCGTGCGCAGTAAATACATTGTACTTATGCGTGCGCAAAATATTGTCAATGAAAATGAAGGAATTTCAAAATTTAGAACAGTTGTTGGAAAGATAAGACACTGCGCAGGCGTTAGGCTGTTCCGTTGCATAACTGTTCGTAGAATATTGACCCCAAATTTTCGCACAAATTTTGCCAATCAAGCCGTATGATTGTTTATCCATTTATTTTTTAGATCAGTGGTTGGGACGCTGAATTAATTACAATAAAAATAAAGAGGGGCATAAGTTACATACGGCATTTAAGAAACGGTAAACTTGGCAACATTGCAAATACCACTATTGAATAGGGCATTCCCAATAACCCCCAGGCAGGAAATATTGTGATTTTTTTTCAAGCCGGTTCTGAAATATCAGACCGTTTCCATACATAACGACAACCCTGTATATGGCAAAGAGCAATGCCATATATGAACGCCGTATCTTAACTAGAACTATTTAAAACTATACAGTGAGCACGTAAAGGTTGGAATAAAATCTATAAAATATACAGGGTGAATATTTTTCAAAAAACCTCGGACACGTCAATTTTTGATTTTATTGGCCGTTTTTATTATGATAATACCATATATACAGGGTGACCTGAAAACAAGTTATGACAGCTAACTTTATTTTTTTAAATAAAAACACCAATTTTTTATATCATTTTTAAATTCTACGTTAAATTCTGAACACATTTCATATATCATGGTCTATACCTATCTTCAACTGTGTCGGAAATATTGACAGTTGAAAATTGACTTTATGGCAATTTTGACAGGCTGTAAAACCTGCACGGTTAATTTTAGAGCAAAGCCGATTATACATTCCTATCTCAGATTTTTATAAACTATTATCCGATACCAACTTTGAATTTAATCCATGATTAAAAATTCCAATTAAATTTAATCTCCGGTTAAATTGAGAGTTGGTATCAAATGATAGTTTATAAAAATCTAAAATAGGAATAAAAAATCGGTTTTGCTCTAAAATCAACCGTTTAGGTTCTACAGCCTGTCAAAGTTGCAAAAAAGTCAATTTTCAACTGTCAATATTTCCAAAATAGTTGAAGATAGGTATAGGACATGATACATGAAATAGGTTCAGAATTTAAAGTAAAGTTTGAAAATGAAATAAAAAATTGATGTTTTCATTTAAAAAAAATAAAGTTAGCTGTCATAACTTATTTTTGAGTCACCCTGTATACATGGTATTATCATCAAAAAAACGGCCACTAAAATGAAAAATTGACGTGTCCAAATTTTTTAAAAAAATATCCACCCTGTATATTTTATAGATTTTATTCCGACCTTTACGTGCTCACTGTATACAAAAATTCTGCTGTATGTTCCTATTACCAATTGGTGTCAAATATGAATGCGGTATCTAGGCTCTACCAGTAATAAAGGCGGTAAAAATACTGGCTGCTTGCGAACCTCGTTTATCTTTGGTACGTGAATTTTCTTAAAAAAATATCTATAGAGTTCTGGAGATATTTAATACAAGAATCTACAATAAAAATTATTTAAATGTCATAAATGGAAAAGGGCCGAGCCAAAAACTTCCAAAGTGAATATTTCAGTTCATCGCCTCATGAACATACCGCATTTATTCTTAGGAGGGTAGACCAGGGGCCTTATTCTGTAAAGAACGAACCGTTCGATTCGGTAGAATTTCTTCGATTGTGACGTCATTTTCGGCATTTTCGGAATAGCTTTCGCGCTAGCAAACCGAAAATGACGTCACAATCGAAGAAATTCTACCGAATCGAACGGTTCGTTCTTTACAGAATGAGGCCCCAGGGCTGGGATTCTGTAACGAATAGCGATATTTTCGCTATCTCTATTGACGTCCCCTCTCTATTGATTTCTAAAAGAGAGACGAAGATAACAAGTGCCATAGCGATATCGATAACGATCTTTATCTGTTAAAGAATTCCGCCTCCAGTTCTCGCACCAGTTACTATGCAATTATCCGATAATTTACACTAGTGCAAATTATCGCGTAATTCCAATTTAATTAGTTATTGTTGGAATGTCAGTTTTCATAGATGTGTGAAATTCTCGATAATACAATTCTCACTTCTGTTGAAATACTCTTGAGAATTTCATACATCTGTCAAAACTGGTATTCTAACAATAAATTGACATGTTTTGATTTATGATTTTTTTTTGAAGGTGAAAGGTGTATAGGTTTTTTATGTTATATTTAGAATGACGTCATCGAACAAGGACAGACAATGTTGTCAATGTCTATTTTTTTTCTTATAATTTACCAGAATGTCATGTGGTAATAATTTTGACAACAGCTAAAATTAACGAAATGAAAATGTTTATACAAGTTGCCAACCAAAAACATCTGAAATTCCCCTACTTTAAATGCGTTGAAAAGTACTTTTAGTTTTGTTAGGTTGGCAACAGAAATTTACTAAATGTGACATCATCTTAAATATTGCGTAAAAATCCTATATATTACGATGTCAATGACAAGTACTGATTGTCATATTTTCAAAAAATGTCAAATTATTAAAACAATAGATTCTCCACATCGTCCAGAGATTAGACGATGCACCTATCCTCAAAAATTTCCTGAATTATTATTTTTAACACGTTCTCAAAAAAAATTTAAGAAATGTAATTCATATAGAAAATGTTATGTACAAGGGACTTTTTCTTTATCCAGTAAAATTGCCAGATGACTTCAAAAATACCGATTCTAGGTATTAAATCATACTTATTTAGTTTTATTCTCATAACTATGAGCATTGTTGCCAAATTTAGCAAAATATCGGTTCCAACTGTAATTTTAAAGGACTTGCAACACGTTTTCATAGCTTGTAATACATCATTTTAAAGGATTTTTTTTCGCAGAATATTATTTTGTTGAAATCGAAGATAGCCGCCATAGGTAATAAGAAAGTTTTGGTTAATAACTCGAAAACGAACGACGATCGAAATGTTTCCAAATCACGAAAATATCCGTCTCAAAAAAGTGTCTTAATAATGTTAAAGTTAGAAAAGTCTAAAGTTAACGGTTTATGAATTATTGACAAAAAACAAAATTCTATTTTCAGTTTTTCTCGGATTTCTAGGAAACAGAAAAGTTTGAAGGAAATTTAACAAAAAAATATAAATGAGCAATAAATTCCCTAAAACTTTCCTAATTTGAGCCACCCTGTATCTCTCATAATAAGCGAAATCCCCATGTAGAGACTCGAATTTCGGACACACTGTATATTTTACCTTGATTTACCTGTCACCTGTCACAAAACATTCTAATATCTGAATAGGTCTTTAAATAACTCCTGATATTTCTAAAACTATTGGAAGAAATATTAACATATTTATACACATTATATGAATGAGTAGAACGAGAACTTCCAGAATTTGAAAGAAAATAAAGTGCATTCCATTTAAAAAAAGTTAACATCGACATATTTTTTTACATTGCGTTGTTCGTTTTTTAATCTAATCAAAAATTCTAGCAGCTCAGATAAAATGCTACAACTTTTGTATTTACCCTTATCCCTTTCATTATCATTTTGTATTTATCTTTTTCATATCACGTGTAATTACGGCTGTAGGTGGGCATCAATATATAGTGACTCACCCTGTACCTACTTTCATTTTGAATCAAAAAGCAAAAGCAAAAAACTGTCTCAACTGCCATTTTTTTACTTTTTTTTTTCAATGTTGCGTCACGAAATTTCATTAGCATACCTCAGATTTCAATTCAGCACCCCAAATAACATAAAGAATGAGGAAAATCAAAACTACCCCAAAACTTTTTATGAGCACAAATTTATTGTACTACTCATCCTTTGGAAAAGATGGATGAATTGAACACCAAATTAATGACTTTGAATACATTTGGATAAAAATTTCAGACGATATCCATCAAAATTCCACCGGCAAAGACGTAACAGACACTCAAATCGATAATCTAACCCATCCGAAAGTTTTGGACAATGCTCCCAGCACTAATGGTAATAAAGAAGAAGACCTCGAGGAAATCACCAAGCAGTTTAATGACAGCGTGGTTGTGGCCACCCCACCACCAAGCCCTGCCGAAATACAGGAAGATTTGGTCAATAAAAACCTAGCAGAAGAAAATGAACACCCGAAAGGTAACCGATGTGGATTTAGGTATTCTGTTATTAACACGCTCATGCCCATTTTTTTTTTTTTAATTTTCACTTTTACTACAAGAAAATTGAAGACATTGTAGGAGAGTTCAAATTATCGAATAAAGTAATTTGAACACTTCTTACTATGCCTCTTGAAATCATTCTTGTGCCATTTCATCTTTATTATTTCTAGTTAGTTTGCATGCCGCTAGGTGACGGAAACATTTTTCTTTCCCAGCTTTTCACTTATAACCAGCACCTATAGGCTAATTAATTATTTTTTTTAGGACTAAGGGTAGCTATATGTCTTAATTTAATAATAAAAAATACATTTCTCAAATTTATTATTAAGGAATTTCTCGAGACGACCAAGACCGATTTTTCTCAACTTCGACGCCCCTAAAACACGATCCCATCGAAATGCTTAAACGCAACGTTAACGACACTTTGACGTTTTTGCACCAAGAACGAAACGACTTTTTGCCACTGGACGATGTCATAATTCCTAGCAGAAAAGACGACCACATTGCCAACGAAATAGATTTGGAGTACATCAACTTGAAAACGCCCAAAAAGACTTTGGAGTTTGTTTTTGACAATAATGTCAATATTCCGGAAATTCAGCTTCACGAAGCTACTTTGACTCCTGAATTTGAGGAAGCTGTTAGAGATGTTGCTGAACAGGAAGTAGAGGAAGTTATAAAACAAGCTGAAGATACTGTAAACGATTTGAAGCAACAAGATAAGGATTATCAACAAAAAGCTAAGGAAATCAGATTTAATGTTGAGGAAAAATTAGACAGTATTTTTGATGATGTACGTACAAATACTGAAGACTCATTAGACAACTTGGAAAGTCTCAAAGACGATTCGATAAGCACCATACAAGAAAAAAGCGAAGAGGCTTTTCGGTTTTTAGAAAACGAAGCTTCAAGCCCCGTTGCGCTGAAACCTAAAGCACTTGTGGACGATTTTATTCAAAAAGAATCGTTGGCTAGTGGAGACTCGAGCATTTCTGAATCGCAAAGTGGAGATTCGTTAAGTCCTGTCACTCCCAGGAGCTCGATACCGAAATTCAAGAAGGGAAAAGATAAAAAGAAGAAGAGTAAAAGTAAAAGTAGCGAAGAAGGTAAGCAATGTTTTTATTATAATATAGAAAATACCCATAGGCGCAACTAGGGGGGTGCTAAGCACCCCTAAAGCAAAAATTAGCACTTCTATTCGGCATCCCACCATAGCACTACCTAACACTTATATAAAAAATTAGTGCAACCAAATTATTTTATGTATTTTTTTGCACTTTTTGTACTTATTTACGTCATCGATGACGTCATAATTTAGAAAAAAGTATTTGTCGTTGATTAATTCATAGAGCACGTTGGCAATTACATATTACTGTTATGGAACAAAATTTTTCAACCGGTATTACAATATTACCTTAAAATCAAGACTTACCTTAAAGTATAGGATTTTTATGTTATATTTAGGATGACGTCATCGAACAAGCTCAGACAATGTTGTCAATGTCTGTGTCTGACATTGAAATACCGGCTCTTAAAAAATCATTAGAGTCACAAATATATAAATTAATTAACTGCGTATTATACAGGGTGTTCCTAAATATCATGTACAAACGACAAAGGGTGAAATTCACCCTCTTACATTTTAATGTTTTTCTGGAAAACTTACAGAGAGAAAATTTTGAAATTTTTCCAGGAATAAGAGGAAAATGAGGAGCTCATTTTACGAAAATTCAAAATTTTCCAGTAAAAAATCACTCCAGGAAAAATTCTGAAAAATTGACTTTTTCAAGTAAAATTAAGGAAAATTCACCCTTATTACATTTTAATTTTTTTCTGCAAAACTGGCGAAGGGAAAATTTTGAAAATTTTCCAGTAATAAAAAGAAAATGAGAAACTCATTTTACGAAAATTTCAAAATTTTTCAGTAAAAAATCACTCCAGGAAACATTTTGAAAAACTAACTTTTAAGCAAAATTAAGGAGAATTCATCCTCTTACATTTTAATTTTTTTCTAGAAATATGGCAAAAGGAAAATTGTGAAATGTTTCCAGGAGAAAAAGAAAAGTGAGGAGCTCATTATAGAAAAATTTCAAAATTTTCCATTCAAAAATCACTCCAGGAAAAATTCTGGGAAATTGACTTTTTTAAGCAAAATGCACCCTCTTACATTTTTTTTGGGAAACTGGCAGGAAAATTGTGAAAATTTTCCAGAAAAAGAAAAAAATAAAGAGCTCATTATAGCAAAATTAGAAAGTTGATTGACTTACCTGTAAGGAGGATTAACTTTAATTTTGCGAGCTTTTCTTCCGAAGGTAATTACACTCGTAGTATCGCTGATTCATACCTGGCCGGTACATTTCAAAGCAAAAAAACTTCTAACATAAACATAAACACAAAAACCAACCCAACGACAAAGGAATGTCGTGGCTTCACTTCGTTGTTTGTCTATTAATTCAGATCGCACAGGGCATTATGGGTTTGGGGGGGTTTGTAATTACCTTCGGAAGAAAAGCTCGCAAAATTAAAGTTGATCCTCCTTACAGGTAAGTCAATCAACTTTCTAATTTTACTTCGCTTTTCTTCCTTGGTAATTACACTCGTAGATGTTTAAAGAAAACAGTGCGATCTGAAAATTAGATCTACAAGATGTGACTATAATAGATTACCTATTAAATAATAGTCATAGTCTTCTCAACAACAATATTATTTAATAACCACATTTATGATAATAATAATAATAATACCTAATATATCCAAAAAAAAAAAAAAATATATCCGTTATAATTTCTAACAAGTAAATTGCTTTCATATTATAATCTAGTCCTAGCAGTATACAAAATTATGTAAATATTATCTATTAATTCTTTGTCTCTATTCCCAATATATTTTTGGCAAATACACTTGTATCTTCCATTACTGGACGATTATAGAACTTATTAAAAACATTGGATTCTCTTGACCAACCTGCTGTGTTTCTAATAGTATCAATATTAACACCTAATCTAAAAGCCATAGAAGTCGATGCATGACGAGTACTGTAACCCTTAAAGATGTCTGTATTTACACCACTACACTTCAAGACGTCTTTTAACCACCTACTAATGGTTTGTGATGTGGTGATGACGCTTGATGGTATGGTTTTTTATGTGTTAATATTAGATACGTATTATTTCCTCTAATCTGTTGTGTTTCAACAATATAATACTTAATTACAGAAAAAACACATAGTTCGGGACATTCCTCAAATCTAGGAAAAATTAGTACGGGTTGGAGCGTATTTTTTCCCGAAGTTTTTATTTTTTCGCTTATCTTAATTTCTATTTTATCGTTTAAATCTATTATATTTTGTAAAGTTATCTTTGACAGTGTCTGAACTCTGTGACCAGATGTTAGAGCTAACAACATAACTAACTTTTTTGTTAATAACTGTAAACTTATATTTTCTAGAGGGTGAAGGCTTTTCAAATAATCTAGAACTGGTTTTGTATCCCAGGTGAATTTATATTTCGGTTCTGGAGGCTTAATATTATAAACTCCCTTTAAAAATCTGCTAATTATTTTTTCATGTTCCGAACTTTGTGGGTTTATTAAGTTAAGAGCTGATCTATACATATTTATTGTTGAATATGATAAACTATTATTCAACTGTGTTTGAAAAAAATGATAAATAGTGTCCCAAATCAAATGTAATTGGGCAAATGTTCCTAATTCTACAATATGACCACCATTTTTTGTAACATATATTATATTGGTCGAGTGTTCCTTTACTTATAGATGCATTAATGATAGGAATAGCAGATTCTGGTATTCCTCTCTTTACCATTGCTCTCCGGATAATTTCCCGGCAACCAATGTAAGACTCATATGTAGTGGATGAGGGGTTCTGAAAGGCGAGAATAGTAGTTTTTTATTAGGTTCAAAAATAATAGGATCGCATATTAAGAGTCTTTTAAAGAGGGGAAACCACGGTTGTGCTTGCCATAAGGGCACTATTAAAATTCCCACAGCTTTGTCCTTTATTATTTTGTTGAGAACCTTCTGAATTAAACAAAAAGGTGGAAAAACATAAAAAAATAAATTCCATCTGATTGTGAAGGCATCTATGTAAGTTGAATCAGGATCAGGGCCCCAAGACACATAAATTTCACATTTAGCATTTTTCTTTGAGGCAAATAAGTCAATTTCCGGTCTTCCAAATTTATTGCAAACCTGTCTGAAAACTTCATGATTTATCTCGTACTCTGTTTCAATAGCCAATGATCTTGATTCAACATCTGCATGAGTGTTTTCTTTAGATGGTATATACGATGCAAAAATTTGAATATCACGAGTCTCACACCAATCCCAAATAGATCTTGTTATCGTATTCAATTTCTTATGCTGAATACTTCCCTTTTTATTAATACATGCTATAGCTGTCCTATTATCTACTCTCAACAAAATTTCACTATCAGAAAAACCTTTACCAAAACATTTCAACGCATAGAAAGCCGCTACCAGTTCAAGATAGTTTATATGACATCGTTTTTCATTCTCTGTCCAAAAACCGTGAGTAGATTGACCCTTGCAATACGCTCCCCACCCTGAATTGGAGGCATCCGTAAATATCTCTAGAACAAAATTTTGATTGCTGGAAATAGATTGAGCTGAACCTTTAATATTATTTATCCACCAATTTAAGTCATTATTTATATATTCTGGAATTTTTATAGTTGCATTATAGTTTTGATGATTTTTCAGGGATAAGTATTTCAAACGTTCCAGTTCTTTTATGTGTATCCAACCATATTTTACCGCTGGACAGGCGGCTACTAATTGACCAATTAATCCTGCTAAAACTCTAAGTTTACATTTGTTCTTCTTTTTTAATGCAATCAGATTGTCGTGAATGTTCTGTTTTTTATCTGAAGGCAAGAAAAATATCATATCGACTGTATTGAATGTAAAACCTAAAAATTTTAGTTCTTGAGTTGGTATTAATGAACTTTTCTCATAATTGATTATGAAACCTAAACTTTCAAGTAAATTGATACACTCCTTCACTGCTGATTGGCAATAATTTTGTGTTTTTTCTATTATTAAGATATCATCTAAATAAATAGTAAACAAGATATTTCTCTGTCTTAAAAATGAGACAACTGGTTTTAATAGCTTGGTGAAAATGAATGGAGCTAAATTTAAATCAAAAGGTAAACAATTAAATTGATATCTCATTCCATTATACAAAAATCTAAGCTATTTCTTATAATTATTGTCAATTGGAACCATGTAATAGGCGTCTTTCATGTCAATATTAGCCAGAAACGATTTAGGGGTAATTAATTTTAACACATTTCTAAAATCTTCGATCTTGAAATGTGGGGCTTCAATGAATGTATTTAAATCTTTCAAATTTAAAATAAATCGTCTTTTTCCATTAGGTTTTTTGATTAAAAAATAGGAGGACAAAAATTCCCCTGCTTCATATTAACACCTGGACACCGCGCCCTTTAACAATAAATCATCAAGTGCTTGATCGTAAAGTAATTTTTCAGCTTGGGAAAACTGTACCTTTTTTACAAATAATTGTTGAGGGTAACTTTTAAAGGGTATAACAACTCCTTCTACCCATTTTAGGACTCTTTTATCAGTGGTAAGTTTGCTCCACTCGCTTGAAAAATACTGAATACGTCCTGCATACATTTTATTTACCTTATTATTCACTAACGGCGACTGTGGTAATATTTCTTGTATATCTTGTCCGTCTTGTCCTTCTTTTCTGTGTATTGTTTCTTCCTGAATTTTTGATTCGGGCGCTTCCAGTTTAAATACTTATTTTGAGAAGTATTTGTATTGTCATATTGTTTATGGGCCATAGATCTTAATGACGTAAAGCCTTTGTAGCTCCTTGTAGGCTTTAATTCGTAACTCGTCTTCTTGGCTGCGTCCATGGCTTTGAGGTCAGATACGAAGTCTTTTCCAAACAATAATTCATCGGTCTTACTTTTTTTCTATTAGCTTTCTTGCGGATTGTTTTAAAAAGGGCATGATGGTATATTTTCTGTGGGTAGAAATGGAATAATGTACATTACAGACTAATTGAGAAATATCTGCCAACACAGTGAGT